CTGAGCGCCATTCAAACTTTGGAAGCCTTACCAGCCTTTGACCACATAGTCTTTCTCCTTGGTCACTGCTCACAATGATTTGGACGAATACGTTCTTAGGGATAATGGGCACTAAAGATTGGACACTCATGTCTGGGCCAGAGCAGCCATTCTGGGGGGCAAGAAAACAGCCTGCATACTAAAACCTGCAAATAAGACAATACATCATAACTGTTCACGTTTGAGAGCTTGTGTGAAACACTCTCCATGTTCTTTTCACTTTCTGACCATGACCTGCGGCATGTGGGATCTTAGTGGGCTGACCAGGGGTTGAACCCGTGCCCCCTGCAGTGTAAGCAGAGAGTCTTAACCACCGGACTGCCGGGGAAGTCTCAGCATCTCCATTTTATGGATGACAACACAGACACAGAAAAGCTAACCAACAGGACTACAGGGTGAATGAGTGGCAGCACCTTAGCCATGCTCTTAATCTCCTATACTATACTCTCTCATCAGCCATGGTAAAAATTAACACACAAGAACGTCCTCCTACGCCTTCTCCCTCTTCCGGAAGTCCCCCCCAAAAGACAGAGTGAAGAGGAGGTGGTCAAAGGAAGCTCAGTGGAAGGCAGCAAATGGGAGGGCAGGGAAAAAGCAGTTCGGCAGGAAGACCCAGAGCAGCAGATGACTCACTGACCAGGCAGAGGTTCCACACAAACAGGGCTGGTGGAAGGCGCTAAGTATTAATAGGAACTACTCTATAAATAGCTCAGTAGGTAAAGAATCTGCCTGCGATGCAGGAGACCTGGGTTCGATTCCTGGATCGGGAAGATCCCTTGGAGAATGAAATGGCAACCCACTCCAGTATCCTTGCCTGGAAAATCCCATGGACAGAAGAGCCTGGTGGGCTGCAGTCCACGGGGCCGCAAGAGTCAGACACGACTTAGCGACTAAACCACCAAACCACCACTCTAAATGGAGACAAGAACCACCTCTGCAGTGAGCAAAGCATTGAAAGCCTTTAAAGCCTGTTTGGGTCCACATTCCAGATCAAGACCGATAGGAATTCTTTTCATGGCAAGTCTACCCTAGCACTAGAGACCAGTCCACTAGTAAAACGCCAAGTGAGAGTTTAAGACTTACCCCCAAGTGATGCCCTGAACTGTAGGGGATCCACGGTAGTTCCTTTGGGGCTAAGAACACAGGTGAGTATCCTCTGTTCAGAGTAAAATTATATTTAATTGATTAACTTTTTAAGTAGCATTTTACTTCCAGGCCTCTCTAAATTCCACTTAATCAGAGCATCAGCCCAAAATTTACAGTTATCCCACTTCATCAAAATCAGGATGTTGGAAATTCCCTGGTGGTCCAGCAGTTAGGAGTCCACGCTTTCAATGCTTAGTTAGGATCCAGGTTCAATCCCTGGTTGGGGAACTAAAATCCTGCAAGACATGTACTCTGCTGTGCTTGGTCACTCAGTCGTATCCGATTCTTTGCGACCCCATGGACTGTAGCCCGCCAGGCTCCTTGGTCCATGGGGATTCTCCAGGCAAGAACACTGGACTGGGTTGCCATGCCCTCGTCCAGGGGATCTTCCCAACCTAGGAATCGAACTGGGATCTCCTGCACTGCAGGCAGATTCTTTAACAGCTGAGCTACCACGGAAGCCCACAAGCCATGAGGAGCGGCCAAAGAAAACCAAAAAACAAAAAAGTTAAGAGTGTTAAGTCGCAGAAAACCCAACTGAAGCTGGCTTGTCATTTTGTTGGGCTTCCCTTGTAGCTTAGTCGGTAAAGACTCTGCCTGCAGTGCAAGAGACCCAGGTTCGATCCCTGGGTCGGGAAGATCCCGGGAGAAGGAAATGGCAACCCACTCCAGTATTCTTGCCTGGAGAATCTCAGGGACAGAGGAGCCTGGCGGGCTACAGTCCATGGGGTCGCAAGAGTCGGACACGACTTAGCGACTAAAGAGACAGGGAGCCAGAGGCAGGCGTCAGGCACAGAACCATGTGTGGCTCTCATCACAGCATCAGAACTGCAGACTCAGTGACCACTCTTCTCCAGTGGTCCTTATGCTGGTTCTACTCGCCCTCCCGAGACGGCGGGGACAGCTCCAGGCAGTACAGACAGACATCAGAGGGCGAGGAGCCTTCCTGTGCGTCTCCTCTCTCAAAAAAGAAAACCTTTTCCAGTGTCTGCAGCAGACTTCCTATCAGGTCTCCCTGCTCACAAACCTTTTGAATCTTTTAACCTGTGTGTCTGTGCAGGCTTTGTTTCTTCAAAAACTAAGCACTATGCATACAGGCGTTCAGATGTGCTTCCTAGACTGAACCGAATTTAACCACAGGACAGTAACCTCAAGGACAAGGGCCATCACGTTGTTTCCTCTTTGTGTCTCAAGCCCAATATTAAACTGCAGATGCGAAGTATTTGTTGATTGGCTACATAACTGAACTCAGGAGTAAAATTTCAGGCCCTACAGAACTCATCTCCAACTTCTTTAATATCTGTGGATTATTCAAAGCCTCAATACATTCTTCACAGAACAATTTGGTCGTCAGTTATTGTATTTGGAAATGTATTGGTAATAGGGGTGTTTTCATAATTTTCAGAGATGACGCATTCACAAACGACCAAGACATTTAAAAAAAAAAAAGCAAAAACAAAGTTACATAAACCTAACAAGTATTCAGTGAATGCAGGAGGCAACACACAGGGCAATTAAAAGCAGAAACCCCTTAAATGCACAAATCTGAAAATGCACAAAATGCCATTTTTGCAAAACAAAGCTTAAAATGTCAGAAAACACAATCAGTCTGAGCTGTTCCCCTTTCCATAGCTCCTCCCTGTCTCAGGTCTCTCCTCGACCTCTTGACTCTCAGATGTTCTAGAAAAGCTCAACTGATTAAGCCAATGATTGACCTCGACCATAATTTCTAATTACCTAATCAAGTCACTGCTGAACACTGCAGAATCTTACTGATGCCTCTAAGTAGAGCAAGAGAAACAGAACACAAAAGTGACCTGCCTAATTTTCCTGCAGCCAGGCCCTAACAGTGAAGCGAATTACACTCAGGTGTCCTAACTTACATCCTGCGATCTTAGTCTTGATATGAACTCCAGGTGAACTTTATGGAGCAAGCTGGGCAAAGGCCAGGTCCTTCCTAGCTTGCCAAAGGCATGCGAGCTAAAGCTGTGTTTCTGTCCTTCTCTGGAAAAGGGTTAATTACACAGAAGGAGAAAAAAAAAGAAATTTTCGTTGATCTCTAGAGCATGAGCATAAGTTATGTTTCTTACAATAAAGGACAAGAATCGAAAGGAGTAGGGAGTCAATTCGCAAATGCCAGAAAGTCTACATTCTGGAGAGGAGGGTTGACAGCCGGGCCCCCAGATGCACTGGCTGCTTCTGGAACACAGGCGTGTGTCCTGTTGGCAGAAGAGCGAATATGCAGTCACATAAATAGCTTTCTACCAGTGGCCAAACTGGCTTTGCCATCTGCCTCTCTCCACGCCAAAGCCTCCCTCCTCATACCCCTCCAGCCAGAGGGAGCTGCGAGAGCCAGTGAGAAAGGACACTCCCTCAGCCAGCGACACTAGTTAAGACCAAGCTACAAAAGTAGAGTCCTTTTCCTCATGTCCACTGCGCGCGCACACACACACACACACACACCCATGTCCTTTTCGCCTCCTCCTCTCTCCGTTTACACTTACATATTTACAGTCCCTCCCCACCTCCATCCCAACACATACACACTCAATGCAAAGACACTGGAGAGCCACCAACCCAATAGCCCACCAGCCACATGTCCCAAAGTGATTCCCAAACATCATTTTGCAACACCACAGAGGTCACAGAACCTAAACGAACCCTGGTCATCACCCAGAGAAGTTGAATGACTTGCTTCCAAAATTAGAGATGGCTCACTCACTGAATTCTTCCCATGAAATCATATTTCTTTCAACTCATTCATTCATTGAATTTGCACTGTTCTAGGCTCTGGGCTGGGTACCTGAGACAATTCAGTCAGTACGTTTCCATCTTCCTTAATGCAAAATGGGGAATGGGGGTGGGGCGTGGAGGGGGCGCGGGGACATGGGGTATTTTCCCCAGTCTGCTGCATGCATATGTCTTTCTAGGAGGGAGAAGCGAACACTCAGCTGGCATCCTCAGGATGGGGTATAGATCACATGTGTGCTCAGGCTGCTGGGCCTCTCACTCAAGCTAACTTTTTCCTATTTCCAGCTGCATCACCAACTCAATGTCTCAGCATGCATTTCAGGCCACCTCCCTCCTAGAAAGAGCGGATACATCTCTTATTTTCCTGTGGCCACTTCTGAATTGCTCAAAAGATGGAGACGAACAGGGTTGGAAGGCACCAAGCTTGGCCGGGGTGGAATTCCCTATTTGCAGGCAGGGCTTGCTGGGGCTAGAGGGCAGGCTGTCTGCTCAGCCTCACAAGCCCCAATCTTTGAACCCTCCTCGGCGCAGGAGGAGGGAAGGAATTTGCACAACGCCAGGTGGACTTTCGGGTTTAGCATAGCAAGGCGCTTGGGACGAGACTGTCGCAGGGGATCCGAAAAAGACACAGAAAGGGTACGGCTTAAGGGACTTCTGACCAACTCAGCAGGTTTGCAAAGAATCCTCAGGCAAGTTCTTCTAAAGGATCACGAGACAAGACCCGTGAAATTGATGTCTGTTTCAGAAGAGACAGAGCAGCTCTAGGGGGCCAGAGAAGCTGCCCGCCGGCGGGTCCGGCGGAGAACGCAGGCACGAGGGCGCCCGGCCGGAGCGGCGGGTCTGGCGGGCAGCAAGCTTACGCGCATGGCTCCCGGCTCAGGCCGCCGCGCAGGGGCGGGAAAGGGACTCGCCCCCAGCTGCCCGGGGAGCCGAGGAGGAACGACCCGGGGGCCTCGAGGTGCCGGATGAATCCCCTGATCCTCCGGCTGCCGGCCCCAGGCACGGGCCGGTCGGTGTCCCTCCGGCAGAGGCTCCTGCTGGCCGCGCCCCGGGGCCCCGCTTACTTTTGGTCGCGGCGATGAGGTTCTTGCCGTCCTTGATGAGCTCTTTGATGAACTTGTTGGTCCTCTCCAGCTCCGCTTCGTGGGCACGGATCCTCTCCCGGAACCACGGGCTGTCGAGGTAGCAGTCGCTGAACTCCAGGGGCTGCAGCCCCATGACGGCGGCGGTCCGCGCGCACAGCACGAGCCGGGCGCCGGGGCGAGGTGAGGGGCCGCGAGCGTAGCAAGCGCCGGAGAAGCTAGGAGCCCCGGGCGTGCGGCGAGGGCAGCGCGGACATGCCCCGCGGAGGGGAGCCGGGCCGCACGCAGCAGCACGGCGGCGGCGAGCGAGAGCGCAGCGCCGGGATCCCGGCAGCCCCCGCCGAAGCTCGGGCGCCGCGGCCCCGCCCCGCCCCGCCCGGCCCGCGCCGCACGCCCTCCCGGAGGCGCGGGCCCGGCCCGCCCCGCGCGCGCCCCTTTCTTGTTCCTCCGCCTTCCTCCTTCCTCCTCTCCCTGCCTTCCCCGAACGTCTCTTCCTTGTTTTCCTTCTCTTCCCCACGCGCAGTGGCCCCTCCTCTTCCTTCCGAGGCTTCCTTGGTGTATCATTTCGCCCTGCGGCTCACCTCCAGCCCCAGGCGCGAGCGCCTCCCCTTTTCTTGGCTCCCCTCTTCGGAGTGACTCACTGTCGGCTGCTCGATGCGGGGGGACTTGACCGGGACCAGGAAGGGGCGCCTTCAGAGCATCTGTAATACTCCGCAGCCGGGCGGCTTGACTCTGAGGTCTGACTTGCTGGGGTAGACGGTTTGACTTCTAGGTTTCATCCTCCCGGGGCGGACCCTGAAGTGTGAATGGACGCACACGCAGGGCTCTTTTTTTCCCCCCATTCTCGGCCCTCGTCTAAAGTAAAATGCCTGTAAATCTCCACCTTAGATTGAAAGCTTTTTAAGGGCAAGGAGCATTTTCTTGCGGGGCGGGCAGCTGCTCTTAATCTCTGTGTAATCACACCGAACGACTTGGTGTAGGGGAGAGGGTGTCAGATCACGGCAGAGTCGTTTCTGCTGTAATCAGCAGATTAAATATGCCAGGGTAGGTTGAGTCGGTATTTATTATGCCAAAAATAAGCACCTGAGAACAATTGCCAGGTTCTCAGTGGTTTTCACCAGGTGGGCGTGACGATCAAATAAGAATTTGTCAGTGCACCCTGAAAGGGTGTACTTTTCAATGTGTCCTCAAAATGTTAATAAGACATTCTGAATGATTGAAATCCTTACCTCAAAAAAACCGATTGTTCATTAGAGTAACTTAATAATAACAGCTAACAGTTTATTAGGGGCTTCCTTGGTGGCTCAGAGGGTAAGGCGTCTGCCTATAATGCGGGAGACCCGGGTTCGATCCCTGGGTCAGGAAGATCCCCTGGAGAAAGGAATGGCAATCCACTCCAGTACTCTTGCCTGGAAAATCCCATGGGCTGAGAAGCCTGGTTGGCTACAGTCCATGGGGTCGCAAAGAGTAGGACACGACTGAGCGACTTCACTTTCACTTTCCCTGGTAGCTCAGTTGGTACAGAATCCCCTTGCAATGCAGGAAACCCAGATTCCATCCCTGGGTGGGGGAGAGCCCCTGAAGAAGGAAATGGCAACCCCCCTCCAGTATTCTTGCCTGGAAAATCCCATAGACAGAGGAGCTGGCAGGTCCCAAGAGTCGGACACAACTTAACGACTAAACAACAGCAACAGCAGTTTATTAAGCAATTATTATCTGCCAGGCACACACCAGGAACTCTGTATACATTTTTACAAGCTCAGGAACAACATATGTTTACATATATAGGTTCACTTGTGATGTTAATATCACCAAGGGACTTCAAAGTGGTTCTTTAAAAGGTACAGATTGCTGGCTGGGTAATTGAGACTCTGAGCAGTTTGCTGTAGGAGTGTTCCTCTCAGGAACTAGTTTAAAAAGCCACCTACTCAATAAGCTCTTTCTGTTACAAAACAGCCTGCAAGTGGCTAGCCCACAGATTAAACAGATAAACATTATTACTTTAATGTCCATGCTCCAGAGAGTTCAAAATGTTTTACAAATAACTTTTACCCCTTGAAAAGCCTGGTGCTGGCTACAATCAGCAGGGGAGCTGGAATCTACAGAAAAGAAAAGAGGCAAATAAAACAGGGAAAGACCAGAATAGGAGGGATGTAAACAGTTGGCTGTTAACCAAACAGCCAAACAGTGACAGGCCCTATCCTCTGGACAAAATCCTAAACCTTTCCTCATAAAAAGGGGCTGCTGACACCTCCCAGTTAACATTTGAGTCAGCAACTCCACTCCCTCCGCATATAACCAAGAGAAATGAAAACATATGTCCACGCAAATGCTTGTTCTTGGTAACAGTGTTCATAATAGGCAAAAAGTGGGCTCAGCCCAAATGTCCACCAGCTGACGAGTGGATAAACAAAATCTGTATCTATACAATGGAATGGACTTCCCTGGTGGCTCAGATGGTAAAGAATCTGCCTGCAAGGCAGGAGACCTGGGTTCCATCCCTGGGTGGGGAAGATCCCCTGGAGAAGGGAATAGCTACCCACTCCAGTATACTTGCCTGGAAAATTCCATGGACAGAGGAGCCTGGTGGGCTGCAGTCCATAGCATTGCAAAGAGTTGGACCAAATGATTAACATTTTCACATACACTTTGACGTACAATGAAATGGGCTCTCCAGGTGGTGCTAGTGGAAAAGAACTCTTCCCAATGCAGGCGGCCAAGAGACACAGGTTCGATCCCTAGGTTGGGAAGATCCACTCCAGTATTGTTGATGGAGAAGCCCATGAACAGAGGAGCCTCGCAGGCTATGGTCCATGGGGTTGTAAAGAGTCAGACACAACTGAAGTGACTTAGCACACATGCACATACAATGGAATAATTCATCTACGATAAAAAGGAGTGAAGTACTGAGGCATGCTACAACAGGATGAGCCTTGAAAACACTATGCTAAGTGAAAGAAGCCAGCCACAGAACACCACGTGTAATATTATTCAGTATGAAGTGTCCGGATATAAATCGGGAGTCAAGGTCTTATTGAAGGAGTCATTAAACAGTGAAGAGAACAGTCAGGAGGGATTGGCCATAAAATAGTGGATGGGAGCAGAGGAATCCACGCAGGAAAGCAGCCTGTGCAAGCCCCTGGGATGGGAGCCTGGTACATTCTGGAGACTGAAAGAGAAGATCAGGCATCAAGCCCAGTAAGTGAGAGAAACTAGCTCAAGACAATGCTGGGTGCTGGGGAGTCAGCAGGGTCAGACCTGGCAAAGTCTCATAGGCCATATACAGTGAAATTTCCACATACTGAGGTATGGGGAAGTCATACTGGCTTTTACATGAATTAACTCAAATTTTATGCTAAAACAGCCTGCTTGTGGCCTATCAAACATACATTGTACATCTGCTTGAATTTTTAAAGAAAAGGGTGCATTAACCAGAAGTGAAGAATATCCATGTTAAAAATAAAGATTCAGGAGACTCCTCTGGCGGTCCAGCGGTTAAGACTGTTCTTCCAAAAAAAAAAAAAAGACTGTTCTTCCAACTCAAAGATGCAGGGGATGATTCCTGGTCAACAAACTAAGATCCAACATGCCTGGGCAGCACAGCCCAAAAAAAAAAAATCAAGATTCAACGCCTCCCTTCCTGGGACGCCAGCGCTGGTACTCCTTCAATGATAAGACTCCCTTCCCAGGCCAAGACTGTACTGACTCACTGAGTTCGTGCTGATCTGGTTTGTTTCATTTTTCTTGAGACCTTGAGAGAATGTATCCCTGACTTATTTGATGTTCTTTGTTCTGACAAGACATAGAACATCATGCTTCTTTCGAGCAGTTCCCCAGAACTATCTGAGACACTGTCTTCTGGGCTATAATCCTCAGTTTGGCTCAAATAAAACTCTTCTTTTCCTACTGTAGATCGTGTACTGATTGTTTTCATCACCGGTAGGATTCGGGATTGCACCCTACTGCTGTGGGGCGCCTATGAAGCGTTTTCAGCATGGTGGTAAAGTGACCTGGTTTGGGTCTCCTCTCCAGGTGCTGCGTGGGGAGTGGGAATCCAGAGGGAAGGCTTTTGGAGTTGTCTGGGCAAGAAACGGTAGAGCTGCCCCCAAGTGGCGGTGGAGACAGAGAGTCGTAAATCAAAATGTATTTTAGAGGGAGATTCTGAGACCTGATAGGGCTTCCCAGGTGGCGCTTGTGGTAAAGACCTGCCTGCCAATGCAGCAGACATAGAGACTCAGGGGTCAGGAAGATCCCCTGGAGGAGGGCATGGCACCCCACTCCAGTATCCTTGCCTGGAGAATCCCATGGACAGAGGAGCCTGGCGGGCTACAGTCCTTGCAAAGAGTCGGACACGACTGAAGCGACTTCGCACACACCACACTGGGACTCGACAGCAGCCCGGATATAGAAATGAGGAAGAAAGTGACAAAGAAGGCCCCAAGCTCCTAGCATGATAAGTTAGGTGGACGGCTATGAACACTACTGAACATCGACTGCAAAGGAAACCAGAGATAGGAGTTCATGTGGTGGTGGTAACTGGGATGGGCAAAATCAGTTTCAACTTCAGACTCGTTAGGTGCCTGAGAGATACTCAAGTACATATATCAGGTGAGCATTTTTATGCTTCACTCAGTGCCTGGAAGAATTAAGAATTTTTTTTTAATTATTTTTTAAAACTTTATTTATTTATTTTGACGGTGCTAGGTCTAAACTGTAACATGTGGGATCTTTAGTTGTGGTGTGTGGGATCTAGTTCCCTTACCAGGGATCAAACCGAGGCCCCCTACAATGGGAGCAAAGAGTCTTAGCCACTGGGCCTCCAGGGAGGTCTTCATTTATTTATTCATCTAACTGCACTGGGTCTTAGTTGCTGCATGCAGGATCTTTAGTCACAGCATTTGAACTCAATTGCAGCATGTGGGATCTAGCCTCTGGTTAGATAGATCCAGATAGATAGATCTAGCCTCTTGTAGTGGAGTCTAACCACTGGACCACCAGGGAAGTCCTGAGTTAAGGATTTGAATCAATGAAAGTTGGTCAGGTTCCTCTGTCTAGGTAAAACAGAGGTTAATTCAGATGAAACCTTCCCTTTATGTAGGTTCCTCGAAACCTTCCTTTTATGTAGGTTCCTTAAGT